TCTAAAACACTAGGCAGGGGAGGACGCAGGCAGTGCAGGACCCTTAGGGGGAACTCAGGCAGTGAAGGAGGCCCCGAGGGGGTACGCGGACAATACAGGACCTGGGCGGGGGACACGGGCAGTTCAGAACCTCTGGTGTGGGGGGACATGAGCAGTGCAGGAGGACCTGAGGGGGGATGCAGGCAGTGCAGTGCAGGACCCAGCGGTGAACGCAGGCAGTGCAGGACCCGGGCTGGGGGAACTCGGGCAGTGTAGAACCTGAGGTGGGATGGGGGCGGTGCAGGACCGGGGGGCATTGGGAGGGCTCCAAAAGTCCCAGAATAGCCTGTTTCAGCTGCCCTCTGACACACGCTCTGGGCACAACCTTGGGGGCTGCTTGACCTTGGGGACCACTCCCCATTCCTGAGGGCTCTTTGAACTCAGGAATCCTGCAGGGCTCCTCACTGGACCCTTGACTCAGAAAGTGCTCAGTACATGAGGGTGCTGGTGAAAATAAGCATACATATGCACACACACACGTGCACACACATATGCACACACACATACACACATGCACACACACATGCACAGTCGTACACATATACACACCCATATGCGCACACACTGCACATGCACAATACACACCACACACGCAGACATACCACACAAACACACCACAGGCACACACACATTCACACACACACTCGCACTCCAACAGGGCCCTTCTGCCTGCTTCCCGCTGCTGCTGGGCCACTGCCACCCACACCAGCCTGCTGCCTCCTGCCTTGTTCTTATCCACACGGGTCCCCATGTGGATCCATGCCCCTGGGACGTGGACCCCACCCACAGTCTGAACTGGCCAGTCTGGAAGGGCAGCTCACGTCTGAGACAGGGAGGGCAGCAGGAGGACCTGCATAGGAGGCGCCTACCCTGGCCCCAGAGGCTCAGGAGGGCAGAGGCTTATGGGGTCCCCACCTCGTGATCGAGCAGCTGAGGCTCAGAGAAGCGATGGGTCCCGGTCACAGACCTCACTAGAGGGAGAGACAGAGCTTGGTCCAGACAGCATCTCCAAAGGCCAGCACTGAACAGGGAGCTGGGAGGCGGGAGTGGCGGGCGAGCACCAGCGGCCAGGGTCACCCCTCAAGGGTGACACGGGGCCTGGGGAGGAAGTGCAAGGCTTCAGTCAGGACCATGAGCACCTTTGCCTCGAGTGCTGGTCACCTTCCACCTCCTGACACCCTGTGAGCTTGGCAAGGTTCTCTTTATTCTATCAATGGGGAAACTGAGGCTCGGAGAGGAAGCATGGCCAGCCTCGGGCCATTGTGAGGAACACCGGGCAGTGTGGCTTCCAGCCAGGCCTTCGTGACACTGCTCCACTGCCCAGGACAGAAAAGATGGAGACCCCTAGCCCTGCCCCTTAGACAACAGTGGCCAGGGCTGCCCCTAACCAAGGTCGTGCCCTTGAGGTGTGGCCTCTGCCTGCTCTTGTTGTCCTGTTGGGGCTGCACAGGGTGGCCAGCGGGGGCCCTGGGCAGAGGGTCCCGGGAGGCCGAGGACTATCTCCGAGTGTCTCATTTGCAGACTCTGCTGGTGGCTCAACTGGCCCGGGGCCCTGGGAGGGCAGCTCTTGGGCACAGAGGAGGCTGCAACCACCCCCAGAGCCCATCTGTGGGCATCCACGCCTGCAAAGGGCTTCCCCCGGACCCCTCACCTTGGGGACGGAGCCTGTTCTCCCCTCGGACGGGGCAGGCACTGCTCCCAGCAGCCTGAGTTAGGCGAGGCATGACCACCTTCCCTCAGTGCACAGGGAGCAGAGGCAGCTTGAGCAGCCAGTGCTGGGAGTCCCGGTGCCTTCTGACCTAGGCAGCAGGGAGCTTCCTGGGAGACGCACCCCCAGGAGCCTGCGCGGGGCTCACAGCAGGACAGGCCCAGGTTCAGGCCGCTGTGCTCAGCCTGTGTGTGTGGGGCTGTTCCTCAGGGATTGATGGCGGGGGCTGCTTTCTTCCCAGCACACTGACGCCTCTCCTCCCAGCTCTCATTGTGATACAGGAACGGGCTGGTAGCACCTCTCCTGGTCAGGCTGCCCCATCCTGTCTGACTGTGCTGACCACAGAGTCCCAGAGCCACATTCCAGGTGGTGCCTCACCTCTGTGGGAGGGAACCGAAGACTCTCCAGCCCAGGCACCGGGGCTGCCGATGGGGAAGAGGCTGGCCCAGGTACTCCTGCAGCCACTGTAGCTCGGCCTCCTGCCCTCCCTCCCAGGACAAGCCCGGCCCCTTGCAGGAAAAGTTGAGGCTTTGTCTGTCCACCTTGACGGCTCCAAAGACCAGTGACGTCTCCTAGGAAGGAAGCGCAGACAGCCAGGCAGCCTGTGGCGCAGACCCCTGGCCCAGCCGTCCGGGCTGAGGTGCCCTGTGAATAGCAGCTGGGGAGTAGCCAGTGGCCCACCCAGGTGGCCTCAGGTGTGGGCAGCAAGGAGGCTCTGGGCTCCAGCACTGCTCTTTGGGGATCTGAGGGGACGTCTCTGCAAAGGGGGCGCTTCAGACTGGGTCTCCTTGGGGAGTTCTGTGTCTGGCACCTGTGTGGGGCCAGCTCACGAGAACCTGGGGCCAGCCTCCCTAACGACAGCCTGGGCTTCCGCACTGGCCAGGGGAGGAATGAAGGACAGCCGATGCCTGCCGCACTCAGGCGGCCGCACGTCAGACCCATGGAGGGACTCAGGGCACAGTGTCTGTGTGGGGCAGTGATATTCAGGCAGGGATGACACACCCCAGAGGGCTGTGGCCAGGCACTGCCCACTGGTCTGGGGCTGGGCTGCAGAGGCCATCCTTGCGGGTGCAGAAGAACCCAGGGGCTCACAGGCGGTGCCGGCTATGCCATGAGGGCCACAGGCACTGTCTGCTCTGACCCTGGGGGTCCCTGTGCTGGCCCCCGCCTGTCATCCCCACCAGCCACACCAGCCACAGCCCCTCTCCCAGGACACCATGCCCAGGGAACAAAAGCCATGCTTATCAAAGGAGTTTTTCTTTATTTTTCATAATTTAGCTGAATCAACACAAAATTGAATACTGTAAAACAAGAAAAAAAATATGCTGTAACATCTTAAATCTCCCGATCTCTGCCCTCGAAGGTGTCTACACTTGCTTTCAAAAGAACCAGGCGAGGGGGAGGCCGTGAGGACGCTGGCTGGCAGAGGCTGCGGCCCGGGCCGCCGGAGCCAGGGCAGCTCGGGAAGGGCCCTTTCCAGGCCCACCCGCTCTGTGATGACAAACCCAACCTCAGCCCCTTCTTTTAGTCCAGGATACTAATGCCTAGAAATTTGTGGTGACTGAAAGGTAAATTAAGTCTTCATGGATACTGGAACAGGTCTTAAATAAATGGATTTTCTTTCGTATCTTTAGTCTATGGTTGCTGGAACAGCTTCTATATAGTTACTTTTTATGTTTTTTTAGTAGGATAGAACTAGCATAATACTCATGTTAATTGGACTTGTAGGTAGTATACTTCAGCGGGAACTCAGGAAAATGAAGGAGGCTGGCGTACGACGGCCAGGAGAGAAAAAACAGAACTGTCCCTTACTCCTCGGCCCTGCTGGCCCTGCCTGTGCCTCTGCCCAGCGCGGCTTTCTGGACCTACTGACACGAAGATGGAGGACTTCTCAGAACGCAGGGACACAGACGTGGGGAGAAGGGCCGCCAACTGGCCTCAAGGTCCGTGAGTGGCGAAGGGGGCAGGAAACGGGAAACAAAACCCATTGGAAGAAGCATGTTCAAAATATTGTACACTCAGTGTTGACCAACACAGAGACCAAAGGGGGAATCGAGCCACCAAACCTGGCCCGCAGCGAAGGGAACCCGGCCTCCCCGGGCACGACCGATGCCTCTGGGACACCGACGCCACAGTCCTCCACACGCTTCTCCCAGAGTCCCGCCTTCCACGCCTGGCACCCCAGGGTCTGAGGGGCGCCACCTCCCCACCATGTCCCACCCCCAGAGTCTTCTGAAACACACGGGGCTCGGCCCGACTCTCAGGACGGCCGGGACTGCCACGTTAATTGTTAAATAGGATTTTCTACAAATATACAACATATAAAAACTGTTAAATATATAACTTTAGGCTTTGCAAAATACATTTAATGATCTCTTTCAAACAAGTGTTACTGGAGTTTTCTTTGCTTTCTGGAGCTAAATGGAGTATCGACGAGGCAGCAGTCACGGGAGACTCAACATGCTCTTGGCAGATATACTGGATTATCCAACTATCAAAAATGGAGCTGTAGAAGAGGCATGTTTAACTGGTTAAAACAGAAAGTGATTTTAGTACGGTAAAGTCGATCTAAGTACAGAGGAATCAAGCGGCCTGTGTTCCCGGGGGCTCTCGGCGTCTGCGTGGGGGCCATCGCCGGCCGCGCCCCGGCTGCCTCCCGCAAGTGTGCCAC